TGATACAATTAATAAGGAAATATTTAAACATTTTAGAAATAAAAGCCAAGAGACTAATTTCATTAAGAGTAAGATTCAGAAAATACTTTTCGCTTCAGTTTGGGTTATTCAAATAGTCTTCAGGGTGCAACCTGCTCTGGAACATGGCCAGTCTACCAGGGCCACATCTTTAAAGAAAAACTGACTCTTTCTTTCCCAGGATCTAAATATGCCCTATTTCTGCTGAACTCCCCACCCCATGCTGGGTTTTATCTGGCTTGAGCTTGAGCAGGTCTTCATCCAAAACAAGGACAGTGTATGGTTCTTTCTAAAATATCTGTGAAAGCAGCAATGTATTCCTTGAAGGAGGTTATAAAAAGCTCCAATTTGATACCCAAATGTTTTTAAAACAAGCAGGGCAAAATTCAGTGCTGTATAAATCCTGTGTAGAAAAGCAGATGAAATAAAAGGTGAACCAAACCATTGCATAGGTTAAAAGTACTGGCTGCTCTTGTAGAGGACCTGCATTTGGTTCCCAACATCCACATGGTGGCTAACAACCATCTGTAACTCCAGTTCCAGGGGATCTGAAGCCCTCTTTTGACCTCTGTTGGCACTGTATGACAAGGGAGCAGTTACAAACATGCAGGCAATACACTCCTACACATACATTAAAATAAATATAATGATAATAATAATGATATTATTATATGACAAGACAGAAGGAAATAGAAAATATTTTTATATTTTTCTTAACATATTTGTTTAAATAGTCCAGTTATTAGTTGCTACTGTCACTTAACTAATCCTGTTTTGTTAAATGATAACAATATAATAGAAAAGTTTAAAAAATACAGAATTTCAAATAAACACATTTTTTCTATTTTTCTTTCTTTTTTCCTTTTTTTTCCCTTTGTTTTCTTTTGAGACAGGGTCTCCCTATGTAGCTCTGGCTGACCTGGAACTCACTATGAAGACCAGGCTGGCCTCAAACTCCCAGAGATCTGCCTATCTCTGCCTCCTGAGTGCTGAGATTAGAGGCATACACCATCACACCTGGCCAAGGTGAGCGGTATATCTATTAAAGTAACATGATATAGGCATATAATTTTCTTTTTGTCTTTTTTAGATAGGGTCTCCCTGTAACCCTAGCTGACCTAGAACTTCCAATCCTCCTGCCTTGACCTCCCAAGCACTGGGATTACAGGCTCAGACCACCACGCCCAGCCCGCCTGAGAATTTCATACATAAGACTCACATTTGTGTTATCTTGAAATCTGATAAATGTGCTAAACATTTTAAGTGTGTCCACACTTGGCCACTTTTACCTTTGAAGCAGAGAGGATCCATTTCTTGTTGCTGCTAATGGCAACATCCATCACCCAGTCATTATGGCCCTAAGCAAAAATAATTGAACAAAGACCTAGAGAAGATGCCTTTATGAAAACAACAGAAACAGAAAGTCAGTAACCCAGCATCGCTAACTAATTGGTCTTCCCTGGTTCCACTGACACTTAAGACAGAAAACAAGCTATAAAGACAGGTGATATGTGCATATATCAGGACATTCTGTGTTTTTAAAATGGTACCAAGAGACTTAGCAGGCTGGAAGGAAATACATTAATTCCTGTCTGATCCCAGGTCTTCGCTTGCATGCATTGCTCTAGGAAATGCCTCTCAGAGGCCTTATTAGAGAGGCACTTTGAGCCTTAAGTGACTGCAGACTCATCCACAGTAGCTTGAACAAAAGGGGATTATTTTCCTCAGGTCAAAATGAAATCAGAGGAGAGGTGTGCCACTGCTGCAGGACCTTAAGGTTCTGTCTGCCTCAGCGTCTTCACCATCCTCTGTCTTTCTATTTATAGAAAATTAAGCAACCACTGGGTATGGTAGCACACACCTTTAATCCTAGCACTTGGGAGGGAGAGGCAGGTGGATTTCTATGAGATGGGGCCAGACTGGCCTACATAGTGAGTTCCAGGCCAGCTGTGCCTACAGGGAGACCCTGTCTCAAAAAACAAAAAGGAAAAAAAGAAAGAAAATTAAGCAACCAAGTAGGCTAGAAAGAAAGGATGCAAGAAAACAGAAGCTTGGGGGGGGGGGGCAACGAGATGGCTCAGCAGGCAAAGTACTTGCCCTGAAAGCCTGGAGACCCAGGTTTGATCCCTGGAACCCATATAAACGTAGAAGGAGTGAACTGACTCCACAAAGTTGTCTTTTGACCTCCACATGTGCACTGTGGTGTGTGTGCTCTCTCACACAGCACACACACGCAAATAATAATAATAATAATAATAATAATGAGATGGAGAGATGACTCAGTGGTTAAGAGCACTGATTGCTCTTGCAGAGGACCTGGGTTCAATTCCCAGCACCCACATGGTGGCTAACAACCATCTGTAACTCCAGTTCCAAGGGATCTGGTCCTCTCTTCTGACCTCCATGGGCACTGTACCACATGGGTACACTTACATACATGCAGGCAATACACTCATACACATAAAATAAAAATAATAAATAAAATATTTTTAGAAAATAACAATAAATAAAATTAAGGAAAAAAAGAGCTGGGTGTGGTGGTACACACCTTTGATTCCAGTACTTGGGAGGCAGAGTCTGGTGGATCTCTGTGAAATCTAGGCTGATCTGGTCTACATAGCAAGTTCTAGACCAGCTGGGGCCACAGGGAGACCTTGTCTCAAAAGACAAAAAGAATTTGAGGATGGAAGAATAGAGACCGCAGAGAAGCAGACACAACCTGATGGGGACAGAGGAGTTGTAAGCACAGGGGCTTCACGCTGCAAACCCTGGGAAAATTCAACTCATAGAGACCAGTCTGGAGTGGAGGTCAGGGTAGGCACACTTTATCTTTGGATCCCTAGACACTCAGAGGTCAAAAGCCATGGGTGCAAACTCTCAGAGCCAAAGGTAGCTGAGAGACCAAAAGACCAGGAAAGACACAGAAATTCTGGAGTGCTAGGCTCCAACCCTAGACTCTTGCTGCGTTGGATAATACTCCACTAGCTATAAAGATGCATGGAGGTGGGTCTCCTCTACTCAGCAGAAGCCCCCTCACTTGCTCTGCATCCTCACCCCACTGTCCCTCTGCATGGTAATCTCTGCGGCTCTCGGGGTTTTCCCCATGTCTGGGCTTTGCTGTTCCACCTGCCTGGAGTGCCCTTCCCCAAGGTCCCTGCTTGTCTGGTCCCTCTGGTTGCTGTTCAGATCTCAGATCATGTGCCTTTTTCTCTAGGAAGCCCACCACACTCACTGACTATGGATCCGTTCCTAGGGTCCCTTTCTGTCATGTCACCCTGTTGTGGGGTTTCTCTTCCTTTCATCATCATCACAGTTGATTTATCTGCTGATTTCTTGTCTGCCCTTCCCCCCCCCACAGTGGTGTAAGAGCACTTCAGGAGCACATAGGTCTATCTCATTCCCTTAGCCCAGCATTCAGGCAAGAGTAGTGCCACACACCTGTGATCCCAGCACTAGGGAGGCTCAAACAGGAGGATCACAAGTTTCAGGCCAACCTGGACTGCATAGCAAGATCCTATCTCAAAAACAAAAAGACAAAAACCCTTAGATTTCTTATGTGATTCATTATACCTTCAATGACAACTTCCGGTAGCCTTCTCCTACATCCCAAATAGCCACAGTCTTGTCAAATCCTCCAGAAATGAGAAAAGAGCCTGCAACCAAAATTAAAGAGTGAATGGAGAGTCCTTTTCCTCAGCCAAGTGACCCAAGGCTGACCCAAGGCTGAAGCAGGCCAAGGTGTCTCTGAGGCACTCTAAGGTTTACTCTGAAACTCCTTCCTGGTGTGGGTCAGTGACCCCGCCCCCCGCCAACTATAGCCCATCCTTGTATTCAAAGTAGTTATGTCCTACACAATGATTGAAAGAATGAATTAGCCACCTGCTGTGCCTTTGCTTCTAAGGGATCAGAGTTCTGATCCCCAGAAACCAATATACATGCCAGGTGAGTGTGGTGGTCACCTGTAATTCCAGCCTGGGAAGGCAGAGACAACACTCCCCCACCCCACCCCCCACCCCCGAGCAAGCTGGCTAGCCAGACTAGCCATGTACGTGAACTTTGGGTGTAACGGAGAGAACCTGCTTCATTGAAGAAGGTGGAAGAGCTGGAAGAGTGATCTAGGCTAATTCTTGATATCAACCTCAGGTCTCCACAAGCAAATACACACGCAAGTGCCCCCCCCAAAGGACATGCATATACACACACATGCACACCATATGCACAAAATGGCAAAAGAAAAAAATACAAAAGCAAACTCCAAGTCTCTGGTCACAACATTTTCATCAAGCCATCGCTACAAGTATTTCTATTTAAAGACATCCTATTTAATATGTATTGTTGATTCACCAGCATGGAGCTCGGCCAGTATTGTCACTTAGGTCTAAAGGAAGCTCATCTACCATGCAGTTTTCACCATAAGGCAGATCATGGATCACAGTATTCCTGCTCTTAGAGCCTGTCAGCACCGGCTTGGGCAACCTTTTCTTTTCCTTTTTTTTTTTTTTTTTTTTTCTAAGACAAGGATCTCACTATGTAGCCCTGGCTGACCTGGAACTCACTATGTAGACCAACCTGGCTTTGAGCTCCCAGAGATCCAACCTGTCTCTGCTACCTGAGTGCTGGGATTAAAGGCATGCACCACCATGTCAGATTTGGGAAACACTTTTTAGATTTATTTATTCTTATTTTATGTGTACGAATGTCTTGCCTGTATGTATGTAAGTGCACTCCTGTCATGCATGTGCACCAAGGTCAGAAGAGGGCAACAGATCTGTTGGAACCTGGGTTATGGATGGTTGTTAGCCACCATGTAGGTGGTGGGAACTGAATCTGGATTCTCTTGAAGAGCAGCCAGTGCTCTTAACTGCTGAGCCATCTCTCCAGCCCCATTAGGAAATACTTTAAACAGCAAAATTGTCAACAAAAGTTCAGGAACATGGGGTTAGAGAGATAGCTGAGTGGTTAAGACTGTTTCTTGCTCTTAAAGCAGATTTGAGTTTGGTTCCCAGCACTCTGGTCAAGTGGCTCATACCTGACTATAGCTAACTCCAGCTGCAGGGAACCCGGATATCCAGGGGCACCTGCGGTCACAGGTGTATCCACACACATGCACACACACTTTTTAAAATCTCTTTTAAAAGCATGTATATACACACACACAAAGTGACACAGTAGATCGCCTAACAGGTATTTACTGAGAGCTGAAACCGGAAGGCAGAAAATCATCACCGTGTTCAACCCCAACCTGAGCTGTGAGCACAGTGTGACTCAAAATTTCCCTTGCTCTGTACATGTGGCTTCAAAAGAGACAGGAGTATTGATTTTAGGGTTGCAAAGAACTCTTGGCAAATAGGTGAATCACAAACACAGAATCTGGACTAAAAACAGTTGCTGATCTGGAATCCTGAACTCCGTAAAGCCAAGGACAGAAGCTGGTGGGACGCCCCCTGGTGGCAACTGACTTGGGGGCTACTTCTGTGCTGGCTTGAGCAGCACCATGTACCCTAAAATCCGACAGTACAGAGGTCAGTGCATGATCTTGTGCAAGGATGGCTAAAAAAGATATGCGATGCTTCCGAATCCCTGTTCAGGAAGGTCTTAGCATTTCTCAACCCGGATGTTGGTTGGTTACGTGACTACTGACTGGGCAGCCCTGCCCCTCCCAATGTCCAGGGCAAACCCACTCTTTGCAAAGATGTGTGTGTGTGTGTGTGTGTGTGTGTGTGTGTGTGTGTGTGTGTATTTAGCTTCTGAGTCCGAGCAGTCACTTCTGTCAAGAGCCCTCCCTAGCTGCACCCACCACAGCTTCCTGTCACTTCCTTGCTCTGTTCACTTCCTTGTCCCTTCACCAGACAGTAGTGCCCCAATTTAGTAACTCTCGGGCTTCTAGTTCAGAGTGCGTTAGTACCCTACCTCTACCTCGAGGCAAGCAAGTCACCTAGTCCTGGCCAATCAGAGGCTTTCATTCCCTGCTATGTGACTGGCTCAGAGATGAGCACGTGTTCTAAGCTGAGCCAATGGGAGTCTTCCTTAGGGCTGGCTCTGGCACCGTCACTCTTTTTCTTGGGTTTGCCAGCAACCAGAACCAGATTGGCCTGGGAACACAGCGGGCCATCCTTGCCTCTTGTAGGAGAAAAGCCATATACTGGGGAAGCCAAAGGGCTGGGCTGTAACAGCTCAGTGGTAGAATTTAAGTTTCTAAGGATAGTCAGGACTCCGAATTACAGCTTAACGGACTGCAGGCTTTGGGCAGTGTCTCCTTTAAGACAGTGATTCTTATTTTACGTGTACCTGGGGAGCTTATTAAGCACAGAATCTTTAGTCCCTCTCCAAAGAATCTTATTCTATAGGTTTGTGTGAGGTTCAGAACTCTGTATTTTAACACTACAATGATTTAAAGGCCACACTTTCAGAAATACCATTTTAAGGCGATCAGAATAACATTTTACACAAATTCTAAAAAGTTTCTTTTGTTGCTTAAGCCTTAGTGAGCTGGGTTTCTGCCGCTAGAAACCATGGGCCCATGAAGTCCCCTCTCGGCTTCAAGGAGGGGTCGGAGAATCCATCCTCCCTTCAGGAATCATGGAGAGTCACATGTGTCTGCAGCTAGAAAGTCCACAGGAAGGGACCATGAGGAAGCCATGCCCAGCTGGGCTCCCTTCCAACTTATGTGTGGCACATGAGGGTGAATTTGGCTTCGTGATGGCACACACTTATAATTCCAACGTTCAGGGTGCTGGGGTAGGAGATTTTGAGTTTGAAGCTTCTGGGCTATGTAGCCAGACAAGGAGAGGGAAAGGGGAGCGGGAAGAAGGGGAGGGGGAGAGTACGGTAAGGGGAAGGAACGGAAAGGAAGAAGGAGGGCAGGGAAGGGGGAGGGGAGGGAGTGGGAGGGAAGGGGAAGGAAGGGAAAGGAAGAAGGAGGGGAGGGAAGTGGGAGGGGAGGGGAAGGGAGGGAAGGGAAGGGGGAGGGAAGGGGAAGGGGAGGGGAAGGAAGCAAGAAGAGAGGGAAAGGGAGTGGAGGGGAAGGGGTGAGGGGAAAGGGAGGGAAGGAGGAAGGAAGGAAAGGGGAGGGGAAAGGAAGGAGGAGAAGGAGAAAAGGAGGGGAAGAGGGAAGGGGGTCTGGGGACATCTAGTCACTCACTGTCTCTGGCAAAGCAGCAGGAGCTCACACAGCCCTCATGGCCCTTCATCAGAGTCACGCAGGCTCCTTTGTTTCGAAACTCTCCAGTGTGGACGTTCCATATTTTGATGTCTTTGTCCCAGGAGCTCGTGCACAGGAAGTGGCCACTGAAGGTGAAACAGCAATCTGAGATGGTGTTGGCGTGTGCCCTGAAAGAGATGGGTTGTGTGCTCGCACGGCATGGGGGGGGCACCTGGGTACACTACTGAAGGGGACCCCGGGTAGGGGAGTGGGCATCAATCACTCCAGTTGGAACTGCTCTGAGTCATCCTAATAGGATTCTCAGTCTCGCTGACCCTAACATTCGGTTCTGCACGGTTCTTCATTACTAAGGCCCGCCTACATACTGCAGAAGGTGTCTTGGTTTCCTTGGCCTGTCCTCTAGATGCCAGAAGCTCCTATACCCATTTATAATGATGAGAAGCATCTCCAGACATTGCCAAATGTGCCCTGGGGAACAAAATCGCCCCCTAGTGGAGAGGTGCTGGAATAGTCAAGAGCTGCAGGGAGCAGGCCTGCAATCCCGAAGCTGGGAAGGGCTGTGTTCCAGGCCAGCCTGGGCTACAGAGAAACACAAAGGAAGAGAGGGAGGAAGGGAGAAAATAGGAGGAAAGGAGGGAGAAAGGAAGGGAGAAAGTGAAGGAGAGACTAAGGACCAAATAGAAGTTTTAGAATTGGGGGCTGGAGAGATGGCTCAGGGGGTTTAAGAGCACTTAGTGCGCTTGTAAAGGATCTGATTTGGTTCCCAACACCCACATCAGGTGGCTCACAGCTGCCTTTAATTCCAGTTTCAGGGGATCCAATGCCCTCGTCTAGCCTCTGCAGGAAGCTAAACACACGTGATTCACATAAACTCAGGCGGATACACAAATATAGACATTAAAATTTTTTGTTTATTATTTTTATTTTATGTGAATGAGTGGTTTGCCTTGTGTATGAGTGGTTTACCTATATGTATAGAAGTGCACCATACTCTGAGTGCAGTGTCCACAGAGACCAGAAGAGGGCGTCGGATCCCCCAGAACTGGAGTTATAGATGGCTGTTAGCCACCATGTGGATGCTGGGAGCTGAACCCAGGTCCTCTGCAAGAACAGCCAGTGCTCTTAACCACTGAGCCATCTCTCTCCAGCTCCAAACATAGACATGTTTAAAAGAGAGGGAAAAAAGAAATTTTAGAACCTAAGGACACTGTAGCTGAGATTTAAAAAAAAAAAAAAAAAAAAAAGTTCACTGAGTGCTTAGCAGAGGACAGAGGAAAGACCAAACAAAGCCTCAGATACCTGAGAGGCTCCGGCAGAAGACTTAACCCCTGTGTCACAGAAGCACTGGAAGGGGAAGAAAAAGAAAGGGTAAGTCTGAAAAAGGAATCAAAGAAATGAGCTGAGCTCTTACCAAATGGGGTAAGATGTATGCCTGCACTTTCAAGATTTTGAGTAAATCTGCAAACAGATCCAAGGAACTGTATGCCCAGAACGTAATTCAACTTCTGAAAACTTCTGGAAAGCAGCACAAAAGAAATGACACCTGACCTGCAGAGAGAAAGCACTCAGAACGAGTCCATTTCTCCTCAGAAACCCTGGAGGAAAAGAAGAAAATGACCCAGCAGGTTTTAATGCTGAAAGAAAAGTCTCAGCACGGTGGGACACCCCATGCCTGCCTATAATCCCAGCACTGGAGACTGTGGCCAGAGAATCTGGCCGGGCTGGTCTATATAGTGAGCTCCAGGCTAGCCTGGGAATACACAGTGAGACCCTGTCTCAAAAAAACCCCCAAACAAACAAACAAACAAACAAAAACCACAAGAATGGGGTGGGGGGTGTTAACCAAGATTTCTACAACTACCAAAAAAAAAAAAAAAAAAAGCTTCAAAAGCAAAAGAGAAGTCAAGACATTTTCAGATGAAAATTTAAATAAACCTAAGAATTTACTGCTCTCACAAGAATGGCAAAGCTAGGTGTGGTGGTGGAAAGACTTCAGTCTCAGCACTTGGGAGGCAGAGGCAGAGAAAGGCAGATTCTGTGAGTTCCAGGCCAGCCTGGTCTACATAGAAGGTTCAAAAAAGAAAAAAAAAAAAGAAAAGAAAAGAAAAAAGAAAAGAATGGCAGGCCAGCTGAGCAGGCAATGGTCCCTCTTCAAACCCACACGGTAGGAGAGAACTTCTGACCTCCACACATGCACCATGGCATGCCTACCCATGCAGGAGTGCACACACACACACACACACACACACACACACACACACACACTGGCAGAAATGTAAATTAAGGGTCTGGAGAGATGGCTCAGCAGTAAAGAGAACCTGGGTTCAGTTCCCAGCACCTACATGTCGGCTAACAACCATGTAACTCCTTTGCAGGGGATCTTCTGCCCTCTTCTGGTATCTGCAGGCACTGCACTTACATGCAGGCAGAACATTCATACATATAATAAATTAAAAATAACAAATAAATAAAAAATAAGTAGAATATTTTTAAAGAAAAGAAATGTATATAAATAAATAGTATGGCTCAAGGTCCTTTTCCTAAACAGGAAGGGAACTTAGAACATTGGAAAGAGAGCCTAAACGTGGAAGAAAGATAAAAGTAAGCACAGGTTACCCTTCAGCTCTTGAGTTTTCTGATTACATTTGACAGTTTCAGCAAGAAATGATCAGAAGTTCTTATATTTACTCCTTGCAAGCTTTACAGTCCGTTGAGATTAGGAGTTTTTCAAAATCCACAAGCAAGACTACCTGTATCATTTTCAAGGCTTAGAGCAAAATTAAAATGCAAGAACCCAGTTCCTCAAAGAGCTAAACACAGTGCCAGCGAGACAGTTCAGCGGGTAAAAGCATTTGCTGCCAAGCCTGATGACCCAAGTTTCCCAAGTTTGGTCCCCAGAACTCACCGTGGAAGGAGAGAACTGATTCCCAAAAGCTGTCCTCTGATGTCCACATGAGCACATGACCTCCGCACGTGCATGTGCCTCCCCCTAATAATAATAACTTTTTTTTTGCCTTTTTGAGACAGGATCTCCCTGTATGTAGCCCCAGCTGTCCTGGAACTCACTATGTAGACCAGGCTGGCCTCAAACTCACAGAGATCCACCTGTCTCTGCCTCCTGAGTGCTGGGATTAAAGGTGTGCGCCACCATGCCCAGCTTGGCATTAATATCTTTTAAGAGCTAAACATAGTACTGCACTATGCCCCAGCATTTCCTCATTTCCACTCCTAGGTTGATATCAGAACTAAAAGCTGGTACTTGGGCTGGAGAGATGGCTCGGAGCACCTGCTGCTCTTCCAGAGGACCTGAGTTCAGTTCCTACCACCCATGTCTGGCAGCTGTAACTCCAGCTCCAAGGGATCCCATGCCTCTGGCTTCCTTGGGGTACCTGCATGCATGTGTACACACACACACACACACACACACACACACACACACATACACACAAACACACACAATTTAAAATAAAATGGATTCTTTTTTTAAAAAGAAACAGGAACTCAAAAAGATACCTAAAAATAATTCAAATGCCCAACAACAGAAAATAAACAAAACACGGTATATAGGGAGTGTAATATACTTGTGTGTGTGTTTGTGTGTGTGTGTGTTTGTGTTCATATAGTTCATAGAGTTCTAGCTGAGCATTAAAGGCTCACACCTTTAATACCAGCACTCGGGAGGCAGAGGCAGGAGGATATCTGTGAGATGGAGGCCAGCCTGGTCTACAGAGTGAGTTCCAGGCCAGCTGGGGCAACAGGGAGACCCTGTCTCAAAAAGAACAAAGAAAATAAGAAGATTCTAATGTATGCTACAACATTGATGAGCCTTGAAAATATTAAGTGAAGGAAGTCAGTCACATGAGGACAAGTATGATGGTATTTATATAAAATATCTAGAATGGGAAAATTCATAGAGGCAGAAGTAGAATGAGGGTTCCCAGAGGGCTGGAGGGAGCAGGAATGCATTGCTTAATGGATATAGAGTTCCCCTTTGGCATGATGAAATATTTTGGGAATAGATAGTGGCGGTTGCCCAATACTGTGAATGGAATTAATCCAATGAACTGTGCACTAAAAAAAAAACAGTCAAGACAGCAAGTTTTATGTTGCATGTATTTTACCATAGTTACTGAAAATGGCATCTCTCCAAAACTACTGATTCATTTTACTTTATTTTTTGTTACATGTGTGCTGTGACGTAGGTGGTAGAATCAGGGGACAACTTTTAGGAGTCAGTTCTCGCCTTCCACCATGTGGGTCCCAGGGCTCGAACTCAGGTCATCTTCAGGCTTAGAAGCAAGCACCTTTACCTGCGGAGCCAATTCGCTGTTCCCTGAATTTGTTTGTTTTGTTAATTTTTATTCATTTACTTTATTATTTTATATGTATATTGCCTGCATGTGTGTAAGTGCACCCAAGTTATGCAAAGCCCAAAGAGGCCAGAAGGAGGTGTTGGATCCCCTGGAACTGGAGTTATGGATGGTTGTTAGCCACTGTATGGGTGTCGGAAATTGAACCCAAGTCCTCTGGAAGAGTAGCCAGTGCTCTTAACCACTGAGTCATCTCTCCAGCCCCTACTTATTTTTTGTATGTATATGAGTAGTTTCTGTGCATTTACATAAGTGCACCTGTGTCATACAATGCCCACGGAGGGCATGGAGGATATCAGATCCCCTGGAACTAGAGTTACAGATGGTTGTTAGTTGCCATGTGGGTGCCGGAAATCGAACTCAGGTCCTCTGCAAGAGCAGCCAGTGCTCTTAACCACTGAGCCATCTCTCCAGCTCCCCCTGAATTTGTTTTAAATGGTTGAATTGTATAGTATGTGTTAAACACAAAAGGAAGGGAGGAGGGAAGATGGGAGTGAATGCTAACTGCTAGGGAGGGAAACTGAACAGCTACAAGACATAGCTGTTTTTCACTTTGTGCTGTGTTCTATGTCTTATCGTCTTATAACATTAAATATTTTTTGAGATTAAAAAACAAAACAAAACAAAATCCTGAGCTAGGCATGGTGGCGCATGCACCATGCTAAGGGTTGCTTCCCGTGCTGTCTCAGTCAGACCTCATCTTTGCTCCCCTGAAAGGTGAGGAAACTGAGGCCCAAGCTCACACGGGACAAGAATGTATACCATCTTAATGCCTGGTCAGAGTGCCGTGGGCAGCTGGCTCAGAAAGGAGAGATGGAGTAGAGCAAGCAAGGTGACTGTTGTGTAAAGAGTCTGGGACCCTGCACTTGCTGCAGAGGACTCGCCCATCTGTCAGTGGCCACCAGCAAAGATCAGTTCAGATGTTCCCATTTTATAGAAGACACTGGAAATCTCTCTCTTTTTTTAATTTTTAAAAAGATTTATCTTAGTCGGATGTGATGGTTTGCACCTTTAATTAATCCCAGCACTCAGGAGCAGAGGCTGGTGGATCTCTGTGAGATTAAGGCCAGCCCAGTCCACATAGTGAGTTCTAGACCAGGTGGGAACACAGGGAGACCTGTTTCAAAAAAAAAAAAAAAAAGGTTCATTTATCTTTTTTTTTAATGTGTATGAGTGTTTTGGCTGCAGGTATATATGTGCAGGACATGTGTGCAGTACCTGTGGAGGCCACAAGAGGGCATCCAAAGTCCTCTAAGTGGAGTTATGGATGGTTGTAAGTCTCCATGTGGGTTCTGGGAACTGAACCTGCATCCTCTGCAAGAGCAGTGAGTGCTCTTAACCACTGAGCCATCTCTCCAGCCCCTTATTTATTATTTTTATCTTATGTGTATGGCTGTATTGCCTGCATGTATGCAAGTGCACCCATGTCGTGCAATGCCTGTGGAGGACAGAAGAGGGTGTCAGATCCCCTGGAACTGGAGTTATGGACAGTTCTTAGCTGCCATGTGGGTGCTGGGATTTGAACCCTGGTCTTCTGCAAGAACAGCCAGTGTTCTTAACTCCTGAGCCATCTCTCCAGCCCCTGAACTTCACATTTTTATGAGCCCTCGGTGCAGTTTTCCACAAACAAATGCATCTGAGGTCCTGCCTGGCCCAGCCTTCAGGTGCCACTGGGACTTCTCTCCAGCCTCCTTGAACCAACCCCCCTCCACACACACACTCATGACTACCTCTGGAGACACCTCCACTTGGACACTAACTTGTCCATAGTACCCAGGAGGGCATAAAGGAGCTATCCCACCAACTTCCCTGCTGAAAGATGCTGTTAGCCTCCCGGAACCCTTCTCACTTGGTGATGGTGAGCAGCGTGGCCTGGGATGTAACATCCCAGATCTTGATGCATCTATCCATCGAGACGGAAGCCACCTTCTGACTGTCAGGGTCAAAGCAACATGCCGTGATGGACCTTGTGTGATGATCTACAGAGGGAAAGTGACCTGTGATCCACATGAAGGCTCATGGGGCTCTACTGCCTAGTGACATTATGGAAACACAGTTCAGTGTGCACACGGGATAGTTTACCTGCACACACATTTCCCAAGTGCTTACTATGAGCCAGGCTTTTAGCCCATCTGACCTGACCCCTGCACCCACAAAGCTCCCCATTCAATGGGAGAGATACCCATGAACAGCCCAAGACCTTCTGCATGCAAAGGGCTGTGAGAGGTGTGCATGGTAGATCATGGCTCCTGGCTGGAAGGAGCCTATCAATTATCAAGGGAAGAATACTCCAGGCAGAAGGAATAGCACACACAGAAGCAGCTAGAACTTGGGAGTGTAAAGACAGGGAGAACAGAAGGTGATCCATTAAGGGGAAAATACAAGCTGCTGAATGGTAGGATGATTAAAAAAATAGATGACATATGAGAAATAGTCACGGGGGGTGGGGGGAGTCCAGGAAGCCAGGAAGGCTACCTAACAATGCATTGTTAATAATATACACCTCTGAGCTAAGATGTGGCTCTGGTCTAGAATGTGGCACTTGTCTAGAATCCCCCAGTGAGGGGCTAGAGGTGTGGCTCAGTGGTAGAGCATCTGCCTAGAATCCCCCAGTGAGGGGCTGGGGTGTGGCTCAGTGGTAGAGCACCCGCCTAGAATCCCCCAGTGCGGGGCTGGGGGTGTGGCTCAGTGGTACGGCACCTACCTAGAATCCCCTAGTGGGGATGGGGTGTGGCTCATGCATGTACACATACACATTCAAAAATAAGAATAAATACTTCTGGGGAGAAGACAGGACAGATAAAGCCACCTTTTACTTTACATATTACAAATGTAAAAAGTGAAACCTTTTCTTAATTTTCATTTTGAGATAACTGCCAAGTTACATTAAGTATAAGAAATGACAGAAATCCTGCCTGCCTTTTGCTCAGTATCCCCCGTGATTGCATCTCACATCACAATAGTATCACACCCAGCAAGTTGATACATGGTGACTATTGTTCTTATATTTTACAAATATAAGTAGAACTGAGCATGGAGGTAAAGTTTGAAATCCCAACATTTGGGCTCCTACAGGAAGATGATCACAAATTTGAGGCCATCTTGAGCTCCAGTGCAAGATTCCGTGTCTCAAAACACCAAAACAAATTTAAAAATAAAAAAAAAATTTAAAAAGAAAGTATGTGGGCTGGGGAGATGGCTCCATGGGTAAGAGCCCTCTCTGTGAAAGCAGGAGTATCCTTGAATCCCCAGCGCCCACACTGGGCGTGGCCACATGTGCCTGTAATCCCAGTGTTATGAGGCGGAGACAGGCAGATTCCAGGAGCTAGCTGACCTGCTGGTCTAGCCTAAACGGTGAGCTACAGGTCCAGTGAGAGAGCCTGTCTCAAAATAATAAGGGGAGAGCAGCAGTGCATTGCAACAGAGCAGTGGACTTCCAACAGCCCCCCCTGGCCTCTGCGCGCATGCACACTGGCATGTGGCCACACACATATCTACCTGCACACACATGTGCACTTGCAACACACATAACATATAAATAAATAGATGGATGAATGGATGGATGGATAGATAGGTAGGTAAGCAGATAGGTATAAGATAGGTAAATAGGTAGGTGATAGATGATAGATAGATGATAGGTTAGAAGATAGATATAGATGATTGATAGATAGATAGATAGATAGATAGATAGATAGATGGATGATGGATGGATGGATTAATGGATGGATAGATAGTTAGATAGAAAGAAAGAAAAGGTACGTACATAGGTACTTGATAGACTGTGGACACAATGGTACTAAGTAGACAGATGAGAGATGATAGAGAAATATTTGGTAGGTGAAAGGGTAGGTAGGTGACC